TAAAATATTAATAAAAAGAAAATATGAGCCCACAGTTCTGCATGTATGTACTTGAAAGTCTAATGATTCTGTTTTGTTTCCTGCTTTTCAGATGCAGGACAGTATGTGGGTTACACTGTTCCTCCCCTGCTGCTGCTACTGATGTGCGTCTTTGCAGTTATAGTTTATAAGTGCAAACATCAGAAAGCAAAAGGTATATTTTGGATTCACTGGCATGCAAAAATGTACTCAAATGTGCATCTGTAAAGAGCATAACCATGTTTTACGCTTTGTGTTTTCAGAAGATGAAACTGTCATGAACAGAAATGCACAGAACGAAGACGCTTTAGAGGAAGTGATGCGTGTGGCAGAAAATAAAGTAAGAAAACTAAAGTTCAAAGACTTAATCGTGTGCTGTATTTATAACAAGCCTTATTATAGCAAACTGGGCAACACAACTAACTGTACATATTATTTATTAGTACAATTTGTACTTTTCTCTTACATTTTACTGTTTTTAATTTTTACTTTCTTTATTTTTATCACTGTTTTTTTGTCATCAACAATTTTTATTTATTTCATTTTAAACTTCAATAACAGAACTTAAGGATAACTACATACACTACATTTATTTTTATCACTGTTATTCCAAACAACGTCCATAACATCATCATGTGTTGTTCATTGTTTGAATAGATTTATGAAAGTCAAGACGTTGTGATATACTCAAATAAGGAGACGTCCGAACTGCAGAGTGCCGGTAATGACTGTGAAGATTTAGGTGAAGATGAACCAGACTTAGAGAATGTCACAACTGAAGTAATCTACTGTAATGGGAATTTCCATAATGCCAATTGAAGATAAACAGTGTGTGCGTTTGAGGTCAGTCTTTGGCTCTCACCTGTATGGAGATCATCCTGTTTAATTTGTCTTTAACATTAGCAGTTACACAGCTAATCTTAATGTACCATAATCCAGGATTCTCACTCTCTCACTGAAAACATTGGGATTTTTGTTTAACCATGACAAAGAGCTGCTATTTATACATATATAGCTTCACGTCTTACTCATTTGCTATTACCCTTTCTTTCATTTTTATTGCTTAGTGTTAGCAACATAATCTACAGAGATTTTCCAAAACTGTGGGAAACCTCAAATGCAAATGACTAACATCAATGTAACGTAAATAAATCTGCAAATTAAAATAAAATTTTGGTCATTCTTGTCTGTTTTTGCCCCATTTACACATAAACAGTCTTATTGTCAAGTCCAGTTATTTTTATGATACGTTTATATTTGTTGCAATTAAACATTTCTTACAAAGGCAGTTAATTGATATGATTTTACAGATAAAAGGAAATACAGTGTTTATTCTAATTCCATACATTGGATGGAACCATCCGATGTATGTAACAGTGTAGCAGTTTTCACCCATGACGTACTTACATCGATATAAATAAATAAGCATATCTATGAAAATATTTCAACAGTGGAACTTTAGTGTAATCTGTCATGCAAATCTTGGATTTATAATTAGTTTTAGTCTTTTTTACTATTTATATTCTTTATCCTGCTACTGTAATATAATAATTTTCCTTGTTAAATCAATCAAGGGTACGTTAAAAGCCCTGCTTATGTGAAGGCTGTGCAAAC